GTCTGTGTGGCTGAAAAGCAGGGCTGCTAAGAACTTGGAGCAGTGACCCAGCCCACATTACCATCTTTTATGTGAGTGCAGTCTTCTTTCTCCTTTACCCTTGGCACCCTAGCATTCTAATATCGATACACTGTCAGGAACAGAAAAACTACAGGGCATAGAAATAATTCATGAGGTCTGGAATTTCAGCACTGGAAATGCTGAATTTCAGTTCAACTACTGAGAAACAGATTGTGTCTTGTGAACTGTCATTCAGAAGCTTAGAGTAGAGGCAGACCTCATTTTATTGCGACTTACAGATGTTGCGCCTTTGGGGTTTTTTTGTTTGTTTTTTACAAATTGAGGCTAGACCCTCCACCAGCAAAAAGATTATAACTCGCTTATTATAATACTTTATTGCAGTGACCTGAAACCAAACCCCCAGTATCTCCGAGGTATGCCTATACCTGTCTCTTTTTAAGTTGATAGTGTTATTAAATTAGTCTTAAAAACTTCAGTGTCTTCATTTGAAGAGAGATGAATTAATAGAGAGAAAGAAGACTACAACCTCAGAAGCCTATTTAACATATTGACCTATTCTAATCATTGACTGCTGTGAGTGGGTTGGCTTTGTTTCGATTTTAAAGGCTACTCTACGTTTCTGGTAAACCACAAGGTAAAGGCTGGTCTCTGAGAAGCAGATGTTTTACCCGTTTTGAGGCCTTGTGGCTTTCCATAGAGAAGTAACAGTGCAGGCCACATGAAGCTTTTACTTCCCTTTTTTTTTTAAGTGGAGCCTATGGTATTCTGCACTTAATAGCATAGTCATTGAAATACACTGACAGAGTGTTCTGTGTTCACCAGATGTCAAACTCATATTTCCAGAAGCAGTTAGTTTGAAATGTCTGAGACATTCAAGCAAGTGTTCCCAATGGGCTTGGACCATAGGTTTAGCCTTAGAAATAGTCATGAGAATCTTGGATGATATTTAGAGCCAAGGGTGCAATGGGAGATGTTTTGGGAGGGAGTTTGGAGAGCAGGAAGCCTTGAACAAAGCCATGGGGAGACTGCAACATTTAGAGATTGAATAGAGAATGAAGCCAGGTGATATGAGGAAAATCAGGAGAGTTTCATGTCATGGAGCCAGGAAAGTCAACACAGTTGTCACAGTTCAAAATGAACCCTTTGACTTTTAACAGTCTTATTTCCACTGTGACCATCCTAGCCCAGGCTCTTGTCATCTCATGGTTTGTTTCCCTTATATATGAAAAACATGGGAGCTCCACCTGCCTAATGCCATTACGGCAGCAAAGTGGTGTAAGATACAGTACCTATCTTTTCAGTACATGAGACCTTATATACATAAATAAATGCCAAATGAATGTGAAGGAATGGTCAGGGAAATTTTCATTTTGGAATGGGAGGGGTTTTAACTTGGGAGGGGTTTTAAGTTGAAGTAAACTGGAGGTATCTTGGGTAGGCTGTAGAGAGTAGTAGAAAAGGTAGCCCAGAGTCTGGAGTTCAGACAGTTGCATCGTGGGCCAATTGGTGTTACTGGATGTCTGGTAGACAGGGACAGGATCCTGGAGTGCACTGAATTCAGGGCTAAGGGGTATAAACACCACTCTGAGTAGGTTAAAGAGCTACTCTTAGGGAGGGGCTAGGAGCAGGATGGTATGGGGCTCATGACTAGCACAGGAATAGACAAGAAAAGAGGGCATTGAAAGACCTTTCTTAGGAAGAATACTGAGGACTTGGTGATTTGATGTTGGGGCCAACAGGAAATGCAGAGTCACAGATAATGGTACCATGACTGAAAATGGTTAAGTCTATAGACTCTTAACTCCCATTTTACAGAGAGTGTGGCAGTGAAGGGCATGAGTTTTGGAGCCTGGGTTTGAATTCTGTCTTTTCCTCTGAGGGGGTGGGTGACCTTGGTCTAGTTACTTAATCTTCTGTGCCTCAGCTTTCTTGTCTGTAAAATGGAGAAAATAATAGTGCTTCCTTGTAGATCATGAGGATTTTAAATTAATATATGTGAAGTCGTGGCATATGGTAGGTACTTAATAATTATTAGTTGGATGGATGATAATCAAAGGAAGAATCAGAGTCTGAACTGAAGTTTGCTCAGCTTCACCACATCAGACTGAAGTTCGAGAGTCAGCCCTCCTCAGATGCTGCCTCCATTGTGCCGGCCTCTCCCAGTGAATGAACCTGCTGTGTGTCCCTTGGCGCACGGTCCTGTCATTCCACCATCGGACTCACGCGGATCACTCACCTCAACTTTGTGTAGACTGGACTCTCCTATAACCACTTCCCATCTTCCTCCTCTGTCTTTCATTGAGGGCCTTCCAAACCCTCTCCACCTCTGCAAATGCTTTTTGTTCTTCCTGATCTGGCCATGCCTCACGGTCTTGGCCCAAGACTCTTGGGGAAGGCGTTCTGGACTCCACAGTCTGTCCCTTTTGGCTCCCTTGTTCCTCTGAGGAGCTGCACTTTACTGCTTTATGCTTGGCTGAATTAAGTCTCAGACATTTCTGTAATGGCTCCACACACATTTATTTTACCTGCTAAAAATGAATGTTTTAATAAAGGTCCATGGCTACTTTTAAATTTCTCCCAGCGCTAGGTGCTCAGTAAATACTCAAAGAGTGGATGAAGAAGCATTAATTCTGATGGCTGAGGTTGAGTTCAGGCCTTCCTCATCTCACACCTGGGTTATCTTACCAGCCTCTTTAACTGGCTTCTCTATTACAGCCAGGCTATCCCTAGGCCACAGCCACACTGCCACTGGAGCCGTCTTTATCCAGTCTTTTCATGGACCACTCATGGTTAAACTTCTGTGCTGGTCTGCAGTTAGGACCATAAGTCTTCAGCCTGGTCTAAAATGCTCTCTGCAACCTGAACCTCTCCTGCCACTCCATCTTACCTGCTGGCCACTCCTTTCTGTACACCTTGTCCTCTTTGCAGTTCCCAGAATGTTCTCTGTGCCCTTCCTGCCTGACTCCTCTGCTTGAAGCCCTGCTGAGCACACCTGGCAGGCTCATGCTTTTCCTTGTCACTTCCTCTAAGATACCAGCAGTGTAAATTGCTTCCTACTCCTCGCCCCACCCACAGCCCTTTGTTCCTCTGATGCTTTTCTTTGGGCCCAGACAGAGATTGATCTGTTTACCTCTTTGCCACGGAGCTCCTTGAGGGCAGGGCAGCCTCATGCCTCTCCATATCTCCCACGGAGATGCTTTGCACTAGTCCAGGATGCATGTTGATCATAAGAATGATACTTTGGTCAAGTAACCCAGGTCACTCTTTTCCAGACTAGAGGAGGGCTTTTTTGTGTCTTGACAGACTTTCCCTTTGAACTGTAAGAATTATATTGAAAACTGACAGTGATGAGTCATATCTTAGAAGGTATGAAATCTGAAAATGCAGAGCCTCTAGGAATGGAGTAGGAGGTTCAGATCGGTCTTGCAGGCCAAGTCTGGCTCCTCACTGAAATTGCCCGGCTGGTCTCAAACACGGGGAGTGGGAGGGACTCTCCTCCCGGTGGGCAGGTGATTTATTGGCTGGGAAGCTTCCGCGGTGATTTAGTTGTGAAACGGCGCCTTGCGAGGTGCAGGCTAATGCCTGGGCCGAGCGGGAGCGGCCGCCCACAATCCCAGGCCGGAAGGGACCGCAGGGGTCGTTGGGGCCAGCCTCCCATTTCGGAGTCCAAGGATGGTGGACGTGCGGCGGTAGCGCTGCTGACTCTTGCCTGCCAGGAGGGAGGACTAGAAACGGAGCGGCCTGGGAAGGGCCCCGAGTGCCGGCGCGGCCCCAGCACCGTGGGCGCCCTCTGCTCACTCTCGCTGCGGTAGGGAGGAAGTTTCTGTGCTTCACTGCCGGGTTTTACTCCTGCGGTTCCAAAGGAAGGAACCGAGATACCAGCGCCCAGGTCCCGGGAGGCTCTGTCGCAGAGTCCCGGGGTGGGGGCCGGAGTGCGGGGCCGGCGGGCAGCGCGGCAATCCAGGCCGCCTTTTGCAGCCGCCCGCGGCTGGGCTCTGCGCGCTGTGCTCCAGCCTCCTCCCCTGGTGGCAGCGGTGGCCCTGCTCTGCGGGCCGTATACCGAGCCACCCCGCTGCCTCCTCCCTGTGCTTTGTGGAGCCAGAGCCGAGTGACAGGCGCGGCCTCTTCGCTGCCCCGGACCCTGAGTGCGCTAGGCGCTGGCCCCGCGTACCTGTGGCTGCCCAGCCACCGGCGCCCACTGGGCCTGGACTTGCTGTGGAGGGGTTCGGTGTGGCCCCCACCCCAAGGTGGGGGCTGGAGGAGCCAGGAGCAGCCCGGAGCTGCCCCAACTAGGGCAGGGAGGGGCTGCCCGGGAGGAATGGGACGAAGTGAAAGTCTCCAGACTGCTAAGGAAATGGCCCGGTGGGGAGGGAGGGAGTGCAATGAGGGGCTTGGGGAAGAAGGAAGGGGTGCTGATGGTTCTTTATTTGGTGTCCTGGAGTGGCTTTTAGTGAAGGGGTGGCGGGCAGGCCAGCTGATATTCAGACCCCCAGTGGGCTTCTGATATCCCTGCCTTCCTAGTGAATTCCTCGGATTAAAGAAAGGGCCTTTTAACCCTCTAGGGTGCCCTTCTGGGGAAAATGCACCAGGTTTGGTTCTGTTGCCTCCCTTCTGTTCCACACTCGTTCTCAGGTGGAAAGCATTGTGCTGTTTTATTGAAACAGAGCATATTTTTTGTTTATACCTTCGTGGACCAGTGCTCAGAGGGCACAGATTGCTTCTGAGCCTCAGACGCGGGATGTTCTTTCCCTAAACCTGTGTGGGGTGTGGGCTTGGGATTCTGATGAAGGCTGTGAGAGGCCTGTCCTGGTGGTGGGTCCCAGGTCTGCTGCTGAAATACAACCCCAGCCTCGTCGGTATTCCCTGGCTAAGACTTTTTTGTAGTTGTTATTCTGCTGATTGCAGATATCTTTCTTTGCTTTGCTGACATCCTGTTTTGTTTTCGGTTTTTACATCCCATTTGTTTCTTTTTATCACAGAAACGCTTCGTTAAGGGTCTCAGGCAGTACGGCAAGAACTTCTTCAGAATTAGAAAGGAGCTGCTTCCCAATAAGGAAACAGTGAGTACAACTGGACTTTATGTAACTTGATTTTTTTCCTCTCTGCTCCTGCTGCTTCTCCACACTTGATCTTATGAAATGGTTTCCTTTAACCCTGCACTGTGTTCAGACTCAGGCTGGCCTCTAGCATCCTATTCTTTTTACTTCCTTCACTATTAGTTTTAGATAATGATTCTAGATAGTAAAGTGACAGATTATGCCTATCTCCCCAAAGAAAGTGGACTTCTGTTGTAAGAACAAAAGGGTCTTTGCCAATGGAGGGTTAAGTTGGGGGTGGGGGGTGGGGATGTTGGAGAGTTAACATCTAATTTTAAATACAGTGGCTGAAATAGGAAATGTCATTTATCACTAGTTTGGATTTGGTTGATGTGGCTTATAGCTCATATACTTTGAATTCTATTGGGACTTTTTCTGTATTTAATGTCGCTATGTTTTGAAGAGTAGTTTTAACTCTAATTTTCCAGCCCTAAAAGGTTGCACTTTTCATTTGACAGATGCACAAGACTTGTTATAAATTGCTAAATGGGGCTTTTAAAAATTCATATGATATTTCACCAAGCTGAGATTCAGATTTAATGAGCACATTTACCAAACTTGGGGTAGGAGGGTTTTGCTGAGGAAACTTCAGAGTGAAGTTATATGAAGAAAATATTAGCATGGGGTTCTGTCTCATTTATCTGTAATTTCCTACAGGTGCTATTGGAGGTGGGAAGGGGAGTGTCCTCTGGCTAGGCCAAGGAATAGAGGAGACTGGGCATTGAGTAGGAGCAGCCACTCCCAGTGTCTGTGGCTGAAGCAGAATCCAGTAACCAGAAGTGCTCTTCAGGACTTGGGGATGAGATAATATTTAAACATTTTCTCCAGGAGTGGAAGGGGGTGGTAGATGAAGAATATTCATTGTAAAAGTAGGTAGGTGGTTTTGTTTGGTTTGTTTTTTTGGTTTTCTAATTGGGTGTTGTTTATTTCTTCTCCAATTTGGATTCTTTTACTTTTGTTTGTTTGTTTGTTTGTTTGTTTGTTTTAATGAACTGTTTCTGGATACTTTCTTTACGGTACTTGAAGAACAGCAGTAATGCCATAGGGAAGACGGGTTCCAAGATCTCAGGTATAGCCTCCTATAAATCAGTGGTTTCTATCATAAGTCATAACTAGATTACATTTTTAGTATTTAGTATACGTCTGAATATACTGAGAGATGGTCATTTCGAGAATGGTTAAAAGAGAGAAAACTGTTCACAGACATTAAAATAAAACATGTAATCAGTCTATAAAACCAACTTAATGTTTTGCTCTTTCCAGAACAAATTAGAAAGAGGTATTTAATGTAGAACAGTGGAAGAAAGTTTTCTGAGGATTTCAGTTATTTGAAGTTTGATATATACTTTTTTTTGTCCTCACCCGAGGACATTTTTGCATTTATCTTCAGATAGAGAGGAAGAGAGAGAGAGAGAGAGAAACATCAATGTGAGAGAGACACATCAACTGGTTACCACCTGCACGACCCCAACCAAGGCCGGGGATGAACTGCAACCAAGGTATGTGCCCTTAGCGGGAACCAAACCTGGGACTCTCTGGTCCGCCGGCTGACGCTCCAACCGCTGAGCCAGACTGGCCAGGGCTGATATATACTTTTAAAAATACCTGAGTGTAGGAATTCTGGTATGGCCAAATTGGTGTGAAATTGAGAAAGATCAATGTGTAGCTTTGACTTGATGTAATGTACTAGATCATAACCTCTCAACTCAAGGTTTATTTATCCCTGTGCACGGCTAAAACTCGCAAACCATAAAGAATTTGATAAAAAGATGTGGCTTGACAATTACTTTATCATTCTGTTTTAGAAAATAAATTTATAATAACAAGATTAAGCATTAAATCTAAAATCTGCTGTCTAGCATTTGGAAATACCAATTTTATCTTGTTTTAACTCCCAAGTGGAAACCTTGGTAAGCTAGGTAAAAGTCTTTGACTGTTTTCTTCTTGCTCTTGTTCCTTATTCTTCTTGATGATGTCAAATTCAATTAGTAGCCTTTTCTCTCCCACAGAGAAATTGTCAGTACACCAACTCTTCAAGCTGGTTTTCTGGTCTTTCCTGGTGTCTCTTTCCTGAGACCTTCCCCATCACTTCTCTGCTATCTTGGTTTCCTGGTCACGTGGCTCTTCTCGTTACTTCTCCTCTGGCACCCAGCAGTCTTCCGTCTTCCTGTTTCAACCTCTTCAGGGCATGGCCATCAGAGCTAATGGGAAGGAGGTTTATTTCACCAGAAGATTTATTATGGCTGACATTGGCTAGCTGTTCCTCGTGTCCGGCTGTTTTGCATAGAATTGGAGGAGTTTGGTAGTAGGGTAAATCTGTAAGTATTCTAATCAGCTGGGAGAGGCACTCATATTTTCCTTAGTTATCAACATAGGCAGGCTAATCATTCACAACTCATGGGGAGGGGAGGGCAAAGGTTCTTTTTCATTTTTGCTGTGGAAGATGAGCAAATATGCAGTCACCAGTGTTCTTCGTTGAAAACTTCCTTGGTAGAAATCTTCATATGGTCATGCCTCTTTTTATAGCAAATCCTTAGATTCTTTCCACATTCTCTTCTATTTACCAGAATTATTAACTCATTTCTTTGCTATTCTCAACTGACTTGAAACTTCAGAAGGGTGTCAGCATCCAAATACGCCTGATTGGGCCTGGACGCGGGTCAGCAGACCTGTGCTCTATTCTTGGTTTCACCAGTAACTGTAGTACGTGATGATCTCTTTTGACTGTGCAGTCTGCCTTGAGCTGTTACTGGGAAGTTCAGGGCAGATCCTGACAAGGACTGGGAAGTTATTTTCTCAAGTGGTGTTTCTTTGCATAAGAATTTTATAGGTACTACATACAGTTTTTATAAAATGTTCTCACACTTTGGGCTATCGCTGTGCCTGAGAACAGAATGACAGCACTTGCCTCCTTTGCCACTTACCTGCTATGGGGTCTTGCACAGATGATTCCATCTCTCTGTTCCTTTAATGTCTGTGTCCGTCAAATGGGCTGATCCTTCTACTCCTGAGAATAATTTTGAGAATTTAAATGAGATACTATTTATGAAGAGTGCCTAAAAACACTTGAAAATGATTGTTCTTTCCATTTACCCTCAATACTATACAGAGTAGCTAAATGCTATGAAAGTACAGAATAATTTTCTGCCTGTAAACAAATTGAATCTGTATAAAAAGAAATTACCTGTTTTTCATTAATGTCACTTGCCAAAAATACTTTCAGTTTAAAAACTGGGAAGAGGTGGAGGGCAGTGCCGAGTTTAAGGGATATGTTTTGTCTTGAAACTTTGTTGAGGAGACTTCCATTCTCACCAGTTCCTTCAAGTGAGTTGTGCAGACAAAGGTTCCTGGGGGGCATGGACATAAACAGCTTTCCTAACTCTTTTGGTCTGGTGTTTATTACACAGGCACTAAATCTGGCTTTTCTGTGAACACTGCTGCCCATTGAAGTGGGAATAGTGGTTGTGATTGTGGAAAACCAACTGTTTATAGAGGTTTAGTTGAGTGGGTATTACATGTTAACCTCATGGTACCCCAGAGAATAACCGCAAGTCGAATATTTTGGTGTCATGGTTGTACAGATATCCTCAAGTTTATTATCCTTCTCTGTAACCATTGGCCTCCCTCAATATGCTTATAAGATGTATAATTAGTAGTACAATATAGTAAAGAATCTTTGCTGAGCATATATAAGATTCCTCTTGGATCTAAACCACATCAGTCTTGGGTATGAGTCCATTTGTGTAAATTACAGTGAGTGTCCTCTAGCTGAGGTTCTGAGAGGATAATCAGAACCAGGCCCCCCTTGGGTTCTGCTTTAAGAACTTCTAGGTGCTCTTTGGATTGATGAGTTACATGACCTTTGATACTAAGGTAATACCTGAAAAAAGAAGAGACCAGGTAGAGTCAAATTTTAATTACCAGGAAGGGAACCCATGATATAAATAATACAAAATCATGGATGTTCCAAAATAGTTTTTTGTTTGATTTTTATACAGACATTGCAGTTTTCTTCAAAATTATGAGATGATTACTCAGGTGACAGTGACATTTATCTTTCATGCTCAAAACATGTTCATGTTGTGTGAACTAGTGACTTTTCTGTGTCTGACACCTGAATGATTGCCCCTTGAATATTGGCTGGCCTTTGTGCGTGGCTCTCTCTATCTGCTTTTGCTCAGACAAATTTAGCCAGCATTGGATCATAGACAGGGAGCACTTCCTCAGTGACCTGTCTCAGATACAGCTAACATTTGATCTGCTCCAAATTAGTAAAGAGAAGAGGTGCCCCCAAAGTTATAATTAGCCTGTGGAGGGAGAAGGTGAAGAGACATACATCCTTAACTAACTTTCTCATTTTGATAGTTTTATTGTGAGCACCTAGTCCAATAGAAATTAAGCTCATGTTATTTGTAAACCCAGTTGCTGGTACACTTATATTTACTGTACTAAAAATTAATTTTGCCCCACTTCCCATTTTCAGAACTAAACATTCCTTATAATTCAATTTTTAGAAGTTTTGTATATGCACTGAGAACAGTAATGGGTGGGGTGTCTATAAAGAGAAGCAAGGTGCCATCTGTGCCCTGCAGGGAACAGGCATTACAGCAGGGACGATGAACCATTTACATGTGCTCAGAGCCCTCCTTGGTAGAAGTTCAGGCCCCTCAGCGAGCACAGAGGCTGAGGGCTTCTGGAAGGCTCTTTGGAGAGTGTGGTGTTTGGACTGAACTTTAAAGGAAGGATACATTATTTGATAGGCCATGGTTGGGAAGGTGGAGGGAAAGTGACTTTCCAGCTGTAGGAAATATCATGAGCAAAGGCATGGAGACAGGAAATTGCAAAACATGCGCAGCGAGTACATTAGTGTGGCCGAAGAGGAGGTTGCACAAGGCAATGCAGTGGGACTTAGGCCAGAATTATGGCTTGCAGGTTGACTTTGGGGGATCTTGCAATCTCTCCAA